TAGAATATTTGCACCGACTTGCTTGTTGAAACAAAACGCAAACTAAATTGATAATTGACCCAAAATCAAAAAAAAAAAAGAAACACTTCTCCAGAGGAAAAAGTGAAGAATACAACGAATTCCTAGACAATAGAATGTATGGCTTTGTAGATGAACCGAAAACTCACACCTTATTGTATATATTTCTGTTTAAATTAAATTTTATGAGAAAAAATTTCTTTATTTTATTTCGTCACATGTATGCAAAGTTTACTGTGTCAACAACAAAAAAAAAATATTTGAAGCAAAGTTAAATAAGTTAGAACACAAAATTTAAATCACGAAAGTAGATTCAGAAAAAAAGTTTTGAAGCTAATTGTCTCTTCTATTTTCAGTAATGAAAATAGAACAGAATTCAACATCATACTATTCATTGAAACAACGACTTCTTCCATAAACAGATATTAGTAATTTTGAAAAAAGGAATAAATATAGATAGACATATGAAAAAAAAATGATTAGCTAAGATATAATCATTTTTGTAAAGTTGTGATGTTATATGCGATTATCAAACGATGTTCGATGGAATATTTTGCAAAGCAATCAATTTACATTTTGTAAACATTTACCAAAAATCCAGAAATAAATTTTAAAAAAATTAAATAAATTTAAAATAAAATCTAAATATGTTTGAAGTATTCTAGAATGTGTTTACAAGCCTTTTAGTGTCTTTACAATGTAACAGGAACATGGTGCGATCATTTTCTTACGGAATATTCTTTAGTGATGATCGAATTTTCGTTATTTATGATTTATTTTTTTTGAAGACATGCATTTTGATGATTGTATTGTTGAGTTTTAACTTATGCTTTTCATTAAAAAAATTCTCAGAAATTTACAATCTAAAATAATTTTACAGGATAATACCGCGCTTGTCAGGCATCGAACTGAATGAACTCGAACCTGTGGAAGTTGGTTTGATTCCTTTTTCTGATAGTTATCGTTAAATACTGTCAATGATGAATTGCTTTTTACATTAAAATATTCAATTTTTTTCTTTCTTATGAAATTTTTTTTGTATTGATAATAAAATAATAAAAAATACGAATAATAAATCAACAAAAAAAGGATTGTTATTTGAATAAAAAGAAACAATTGTGTAGTGCGAGATTTTTTGAATTTATCATTTTCAATGGATTTTCAGAAAACAGTTCAATAGGATGAAGTATCGTAGCTGCTTTTTACAAATAATCTACTAAACCAAAACGATTCAAAGAGTGTAGATGTGGTTAAACAGAATATCAACATCTATACTCATATTCTTCTTGATATTGTTAAAAGTACTGGTTATAAATGCAAGTTTTAATCCAGATTTGTGCAACTTTTTCTTAAGCTCTAACGACATGGCTTAGAAAAGTCTTCGTTAAAACTTCAATGGCTAAAATATGTTTAATGGATACATGTAATCGACTTATTTACTAGTTAAATCAACGATTGAAATCATAATAAAACATACGATATGAAATATAAATCAATAAGCCAAACAGAAATTAGAGCACAAAATAAATGACAATCTATTCTGATTGATTTAGAAAATTTAGATATGATTGTTATAATAGAGACCGATTTTAGTAAAAAGAAAAAAAGTAGATAAATTAATTCTTGTTGTTATGATTCCATTGTATGAATCAATATTTTTAGTCTTTCTTGAGGGTGTGGGTATGGATGACAGAGAGAGAGAGTATATGATTCATCAACATATCCAAACAACATCTACATCCACACCGTATTTTGAATGTGTTCAAGTAAATCAGCATATAATTTTTCTAGATTCGATTCATTTATGAATGCTTGTTCATATGGACGTCAATGTTCAATATTCGTTAACTAAAATAAATAAAATAGATTTATTGTTTTTTGTTGATACAATTGATATTTGCAAGTTTTCTTTTAATATACCTGCAGATACTATTTTCGATCAGCAATAAGAAATAAACGATTGTCTAATTCTTCGAAACGAACACTGAAACATGATAACATCAATAAAAACTTAAAAAAGTAAAAGATATACAATATTATCAATGAAAATTCATTTTGACATTTCATGGCGAAATTTATTGATTTTGTATTGATCGTCATTCCTTCGGATTGCAATAAAGAGTTTTTGTTTTTCATTAATATTTTACTATTTATCTTTTCCAAATAAATTGTAATCGTATGTGTAAGTCTTGATAATTTTTAAAAAGAAAACTAGGAAGAATATTTAACCATAGGCAGAATTTTACTCATAAGAGGGTGTGGATGTGGGTATCATTATAGGTCTTGTCTTCACCCACACCCACACCCTGTGATAGACATGCACTTAACATAAAACAAGTTAACCCCCATATAGCAGTACATAGTGATTTTTCTTTGTGCAATATTTGTCATTGATAATAAAGTCTATTCATTAATTTTAGCTGAATAACGTGCATTAATTAAAGCACGAAAAAAAAAACTAATGTGTGCAAGTAATAATGATAAAGGACGTAATAAAAGTAAAGCTTCATATGATAATGTTGACGATTGTTTTGTACGTGTATATAATTCTTCAACAAGTTCAATAAGAATATTATCTGATGATGATATTATTGATGAACTATCAATTATTGTTTGTTCTTTATTAACATGTTTATTATTTAATGGATTTTGTATTTTTATTTGGTCATTGTAATAATGTATAAATACGTGAAAGTATTAACACTATATATCATTTTTGGGATATTGACCAACTATTAAAAGTTTTTCAAGACTAATTGATATAATTTTTTGTGTTAAATTATCATCATTAATTAATGATAATCAAATATCATATGAATTTAAATCAACTTCATGACTTTCAAGTAAAAATAAACATGATGCATATGCATGAATTTTAGTTAATTTAAAATTGTGTTCAATTAAACGTAGATATTATTCATTATATTTCTTTGTTGTTTGTCCAAGTAATATACTAGATTTACATAAATTATAACTTATTAAGGATATTATTAAATCATCTTCATCAAACCATGTACAAAAATATTCATCATATAAATTTGATAAATGTTATGATAATGGAAATAAATCAGATAGATATATAATTGAACCTATTAATTTATATCAAATATATTTCAATTAGAATTTGTAATGATAATGTTAAATCAAAACCATGATGAAAAAATAATCGATCAAATAAACTCTAAATTATATATTTTTAAAGATGGATGCCAGAAAAGAAAATGTTCATACTCTAATTTTCTGATTGATAGAATTTATTTGAAATTATTGATATAAGCTTTTATTTCTATAAAATAAAATAATTTGCATGTATTATATATCAAATCAAAGTCAGAGAAACACTAGATTTTCTGTTTCATGAAATTAATAATTTAGCAATAAATTTATCTTTCTCTTAACTTAGAGTTCTATTTGTCGATTATTAAAACATATGTGAGACTCACATTAACTGATAATGGTAATGTATTATTACTTTGGATTGATGTTAATATAGTATCATATGAAAGTTGTCCATAGGATAATAAATCACATGTACCTAACCGTTCAATATTTGTAAATAAATTATTTGAACTTGTATCTAATATTGATAAAAAAAGAACAGATAAAATCTAGTTTATTTTTCAATCTTGTTACCATTGTGTTGCATTTGTTTCTAAAGTTTCTTCTTTTTTTTACAATTATTTGTTGTTTGTTTATTTTCACCATTAGATTGATTTGTGGTGAATTAATTGAAGCTAAAAATGAAGCCTATATTTCTTGAAATTGTATTCTTAATAATCAACCAACTTCAAAATTGTCTTTATATAAATATTGGTAAACAAAATAATAATATAACTATACAATGTAAATCATGTCAATAAATATATGATATATATATATATTTAATTTTTTTTGTTAAATAATAAAGATGATCTTTTATCTGGTTCAATTAAATTTAAATATGATTATAATATATTTGATATAGTTAAACCATGTCGTTGATAAAGATATTCAAATATTGATAATAGTGTTTTCGATAATGTACAACATGATATTATTTGATCTGTTTCACAACTAAGAAATCATGTTTTTTTTTGAAATATTTTTATATAAATTATTTCTGATATAAATATTATAAAACATAATAAATCACGTATATCACCTGTTGAAAATTGACATGTTAATTCAACATAATTTTGTATTGTATCAAAATATATTGATATAGAATCTATGAATGCAATTGAATATGGTTGATTATTAGAAGCATGATAAAAGACTTTTTTCATAAATTGTATTACGTGTTGTTTCAATGTCATTTTAATTTGTTTCATTTGATATAACTATACAAAATCCTAGGAAAACAAATAAAGAACAGATTTATATTGTTTCTTATTTTCTCAAATCAATTTTCATTTACTATAAGAATCATCCTAAAAATTTAATGTTGTGGAAAAAATCCAATACGTTTTCGGAGTTCACGAGTTCAAACTTATAGAAAGTTTATCGAAATTCTCGAATGCAATTTATTTCGAAATATAATATTAGAAAGACGTCGTTTTCTTTAATTGTAATAGTACAAATAGCACGACTGAGAATTTGATCAATAAGATACGAGAGAAATTATTCGGTCATTGTACTAATGTAACTTAAATGCTTTCCTTTACGATTTGTATTATCTGAAATTCTGCATATTTTCTATTTCAAAATATTTTTCGAAGTTTTGAATTATTCAAAAGTCTCATCTATTACTAGCACATAAACAATGTCAAAGTAAAGAAAAAAACATTTCTTTTAATTGAATTAAAATTTTTATTATACATATATATTTATTTATTTCGATAAATTAGACTAAAATATACCGATGACATCATAAATGGTAATCAGTTTTTATAAGTTACATTTTTAAGCATTTGTTCATAAATTTTTCTTGTTATATCCATAGGATAATTAAGATTATTAAAATCTTCTTTAATAATATCGATTGATATTGTTATTGATAATATTTATAATATTAATGGTAAATATTTAGGTAATAATTGTTTATTTAATGGTAATGGAAGAAATTGTTCAATTAATAAAACTAATATAAGACCACTTTCATATAAATGTATTCCTTCAGAAACGAATAAATGACTTCCAACTGATGTATGATGTATAAGACCAAATAAAAAATAATAATAATAATTGATAATGTGTTGTTATTGATGTAAAAAGTTCAACATATAATTTATGATGATATATTAAATCACAATGAGATTGTAATTGACCACTTATTAGATAAATGTATTCTTGATGATGATGGTGTTAATATTGGTGATCACCATGCTTCTTGTGTATAATCAAGTATATTCAGAATATGTGTCCATTGTAATAATAATGAGATATAAAATGATGATCATAGTAATTTAAAACATTCATTTAAAATAGTTAAATATGAAAATATATCAAGACAATGTACAGTTTCATCATGAATTCATAATTGATGAAAATCATTTACAATTGTTCGAAATTTGTTTAGCTAAAATAAAATCATAGATCTTATATAAGCATAGGAATTTTAAAGTCAAATGTATTTCGCTAGCTCATTAGTAATTAATGAATTGCAGGAAAGTTTTATCTTCAAATTAATGGGTGATATGTACATAAAGATAATCGGATGCAAGAGAAACTAATATCATATTGATTTGACCACATAATTGTCGAGTATTAGTTAAAATTCATAATATTATATCATGTAAAACACGAAGAAGAGCTCTAAAAACAAAAACGAGAATAATAGTTTTTAAATTATAAATAAAATCATTTCGAATACTAACCCACTAAAAGTTTCATCTCGTGTTTCATTAACTGATGATAAAACATCATTCTATCGTGTTAATATAGCATCTTCAGTTAAATTTTGTACAAGATATCGAAGTATTATATGTATATTGATTAACTATCGATTTGTAGATTGACAGTTGACATTCTAAAAAAAATTTAAACTATAGGAAAATTTTATAAATAAAACAACGAACATTTCTATTTACTAATGCTCGAAAAGCAACAACAAACGGATCAATTGATCGTAATGCAGCTGATGAGACAACATCAAATAGTGTTAATTGTGTGGAATAAATATCCAAAAGTGATTGATCCTATTTGAACAAAAAAATAACTTGAGATTGTAAATGAGCAAGAAGTAAATCGACAATTTGTCGTGAAAGACGTTCCCATTTATCATCTTCAATTTGAACACTATTAACAATAACTGTGAACAATCGTAAAGCCTATAACAATATAAATTCTATTATTATTTTTTCAGTACATACACATGACATGAAAAGATACTTTTATTTATAATAATTAAGACGCCTAGTTTTCCTTCAAACTCAAATACATAACAACAAGATGATTATTTTACGATCATCAATTCGTTGAAGTGTGGGTGTGGGTACAATCGAGGAGAAAAATTACATATACACACCCACACTCACAACTTCTCGAGTTTCTAAGATATTTGAGACTTTATAGAAGGACACTTTTTGTTCACTCTCATTTAATAAAACTTTTTAGGAATTTTAATTATTCGCATAACTCGAACAAGAAAAAAAAATCATATAAAACTGGTTCTAATGCTGCTAAAGCTAAATAAAGAATTTTAACGATCATTTCTTTTTCTCGAAAATGTTTTTTTTGCTTCCTACCATGTGTTTTAGGTTCATGTCCACTTGCTAATAAGGAATCATAATGTTTTATTAAATCTTGTATTTTAATAACTTGTTTTGAATGAAGTGTATCATGTGATAACATAACAAGAAATTCAGCAATACAATAAATAAAATGCTATTCAAAAATAAACGAAACGATTAGAAATGCAACGAATTTCATCAGCTTCTAATCAACTATAATTAACACGAATTAAAAGTAATTGAACAAGTAAATTGAGTATAGCAGCTTGAAAATCACTTTCATTTGTATATTAATATATTTTTTAAGACTAATTTTTTAGTTCAATAAAAACTGTAAAATAGAAAACAAAAAAAAAGACAGAATAAATCAAATTCGTTTTTTTTTGTTTATTTTACTGTCGTATTGCACTATTTTCTATGAATTGCTCACTATTTATAGTTGATGCATAACGTGAACCAAATAAAATAAATTATCGGTTGTCGAATACTTATTGTATGAATATAAGTTAAAGAATTATTTAATGATACTTGTGAAGAAACATTTGAAGATTTAATAAAAACTAAATTAAAAAAATATTTTTAAATGAATGTTGTGTTAACAGAAAAAATGTTTTTCAAATTTCGAATTGTTAGCGTTTCTTGCAGATCGCTCACGTCAACTAGATGATTTAATATTCGAATTTCAAGATAGAATCGAATCAAAAGATCTGACACTTTCACAACAAAACTACTCTCGTTAAGATCATCGATATTTGTAAAATCAGTTTTTCTATTACTATGACATTCTTATATTGAAATTTTCCTTCTCTAGGAAAGACCCTTTCAGAAACCTTCATTATAAGATTTCCATCTAAATTTTTATCCATAGACAAGTTTCAGACAAAATACAACATCCTAAAGGTTTTAGCTTAAACAATGAATAGAGAAGATTAATAATTGAACTTTTCTTTACAATAAATATTTACTATTTAAAAGAAGTTATCTCTTGTGTATATTGAATGTTGATTTAAAATAATTAAGTGTTTCTCTTCCAATTTTTTTTGATAAATCTTGTGTAGAAATAAGACTTAAAACTGATTTCATAGACAATGATGATCATTTCTGATGAATTTAATAAACTTTTATGTATTTGATATGATGAACATATTAATTCGAATAATTTCCAAAAGTACCTAATTGTGTATGATTAACTTTTTTAACTTTGTCTGTGTTTGATGTTGTTGATGAATCTTTTTCATTCTATTTAAAAAGAAAAAAACAAATGAATTGCTTTAGATAAGACATGATCAAATATATTCTTCAAATCTAAAACATTGGAACTCTCTTCTTCTGTGAAAACTGAAATATTAACTATAGGAAATTATCTTCTGCCCAGAAAAATGATGGTTATGCATATTTTTGCAATAGTTCGAGAACGGTAATAAAATAGTTCATTTTTCGAATTACTTGAATCATTTGTGCTACTTTCAAAACATTTTTTCATTTGTTGAGATTTGATAAATCTTCAAATAAAAAGAAAGAATTCAAAAAAAAACATAATAAATATCGTTTTTTTTCTCTTTGCTTGAAAAGATTAAACTATTAAGATCGTGTAATATAAAGGGATGTTTAAAAAAAATTATAAATAAACGAAGTTCATCATATTGATTATGAAAAAATTGGTCGAATTGTTGTTGGTCTTAAAACATTTGAAAGAACATAAATATCTTTTAAACATTCAACCTATATAAAAGACAAAAATAACAAACAATTTGTATTCGAGTTGATGCTTGAGCTTGTAATAAATGATGAAATTTATATATCCATTGACATGGTAAAAATGAATTGTGATCAACAAAACCTTAAAATCAAAAAGTAGCTAATAACTAACTTAATTCAATAAAATCGACTTATGCATTCAAATTCGAAAAAAAGCTACCTATTCTCGGCGCCAGAAGTAGATGAGGAAAACTCTGAAAGGAATATCTCCAGAACGGATGCAGCTAGCGAGCTGATCTTTTCACCATTAGAAAGAGGATACTCTGGGGTATAAGTGTACACTATATTCATTCGGTTAACGTTTGATCAAGGTTGTTAGTTATCATTGAAGATTTTGTGCGTTCAGAACAAGAACGTTTTTCATATGAGTTCTCAACTCCAAGATGATCATTCGATAGCGCAAGGTCTCCTCTTTTAATCTACCCAAACCCGACCTTTCTATCATTCATCGTTCGAAAGTTATTCTCGCTACACTGAGCGTCTGTAACGTATCAAA